ATATATATATATATATATATATATATATAATTTATTTGTATATTTGAGCAATGAATATATTTATATACTCATTGCTCTGGTGTTGGGAGAATATATACACACTGACTTAGTACAAGGACTCAATCGCATTGTGTCTCACTCCTCAAATGACAAGTTACCATCCAGGGGAGGAATTGTCCCCAGGCTAAATGCAGACGCATTTCTATGCTGGAATTCATGGGAAGACTGGAGGAAAAGTGTGCCTATGATCCTATCCCAGGACAGGCAATTGGAAAACCTCCAAATGTTTTGGACTTCAGCTCCCATCAGCTCTACCTGCCATGGCCATTGACAAGAACTTGTAGGAGACACTGTCCAAAACATCTGAAAGGTGATGCTAGGTTGATTTCTATTCCATCCTGCAAATAAGAATTAGGATTAGCCTTGATTCTCTTCTCCAGTCCTCTGCATTCCTAGCACTTCCTTTATCCCCATTCAACTGGATGCTCCTGGACCATACTAGTGTGTTTTGAAACCGTAATCTAAGCTTTCCACATAGATGCTGCTAACCAGGGATTCCACACGGAAATCCTTATGCTTAAATAGAGTGCCACTGCCGTGAAAAAGCCCCTACAGGGTTAAATCAGCTGGGCTTGCTCCTTTTCCTAGTAAAAAAGTGGCTAAGGTCCCTGTCTCGCTCCCAGCTGAAACCATAGAAAGGAAAAGCAACCTGTAGTAAATTTCAAATATACCCCATCTCCCTCCAGCTCATTCCTTCAACAACACGGAATGGAAGAGAGAACAGGTTGTATCAAGGAAAACGAGAGACAGACGGTGTGAAGGGGAGCTGGCGGGGGTGGTGGCGATGGACATGTGCTGATGGAACAGGCTGTACGGAAAGTGGGGAAGAGCATGGGTAAGGATGGGAAGAGGAGGAGTTCGGTATTTGTGTGTGTGTGTGTAAGTTGGAAAGAAGAGATGGGAGCTGTAAATGAAGAGAAAGAGAGATGGGAACTCCCAGAGTTCCCTGGTAATACACAAACTTTACACATCAAGGGTCAAGGATTCAGGTCCCAGCAGATCCAGTTAAAAAGATGCAAGCAACAGACAGCAGATTGATGAAATGGTCCATCTTGGTTCAACTCAAAACTGATTTCCCTCTTAAGTTTGGCTTGATTTTTTCTGCTTTTTAAAGAAAACTTGCACAAATCTCATTGTAAATTTCATGTTAGTTTCCATGCATGTGTATTTCTATTTCTATTCCTGCAGGCCATAATATATTTACCAAAAAAATCCCTAATATCATGTACTCTTGCATATTACCACAAATATGCACGGCTTTGTATGCATTTTCCCCAAACACAGGTATCTTTTACTATGTCTTGCATGCAGGACAAGCCATAAAATTTGGATAAGTGCCAATCCAAAAAATTAACAGCATTTTAATTGGTGTATTGGTTCAAAAGTGCCAAATGATGTCAGTTCACATTAATCCACAAACGAAATTCCTCCTCCATTCCTAGAAATCAGGACTGGCCAACATGGAATGTTGTCTGGGCAACATGCTGGAACAGATATAGCCAGATTTATGGTCGAAAATGAATTTGATAGTCTTCACTGCACGGGTGCCTAAGTTCAAATCTAAGAGGGTGGGTTAGCCACTGTTAGAACAGAAGTCTAAAGAATTAGGGCCATTTGAGAAGTTTTCTGCAGCTTTGTTTTGGTTTAGAAAGATATTCTAATGCAGTTCAGCCCTCAGGGCATCTCAGTTTAATCTTTAAGACCAGCTTTTGTACCCTGGCAGCCTCCGATTGTTCTAAATCAGGTAATGAAGGAAGAAAGGTGCCATCATTCCCAGCAAGATGGAAAATCTATTTTCTTTCCTCCTCCTCTCTCCCAAAAAGCCCAGTGCAGAAATCAGTGACAAAAATCTGCAGGAACTGTTCGTGGGAGGCGTCATAAAAGTCAAGATGGCATCTACGATAGAAGAATCAAAGCCCTCCCTCATCTTGACCTTTTTGGTCCCTCCCACAGATGTCCCTGCGTGTTGCTTCAATTTCACTTGCTTTGAAATCTGCAAATTAGGTGAGGAATTTTTGAAGACAAGGTTTCAGTTACTGGATCAAGGCCTACATATATAGTTCATGGTTATTACACATTTTTTAAAAACCAAAGCTCCCTATGCTTAAATGCTCACTTAGCACACTACAGCCCTATCATCTTTCAGATTTTGTTGAAAACCAGGAGGACTACAAACTTTTGTTTTTGGTCAACTTGCCAGAAAAGTACAACCTTGCATAAGGGGTGGGAATGGGAGCCTTCAATCATGAAGATTTCACAATTGGCTCAGAAATTATGGCACCCATGAAGTGTTGCAAAGTATTTTGGCAGCAACGTATAAAGTCAATTCTGAAAATATCACATCTGCGAACAAGACATTCACACGGGGGTGGAAGAGAAAACACACACCTTCATTTCTGCAAGGACCACGCAACAGCAGCAGCAGCTACAGAAGAAGAAAGTGTCGCGGGAGAAGGAAGTTGGCATCTTTGTCACAATTAAATCCTCAATTATAGCATAAGCCAGTTTGGTCTAGTGGTGAAGGCCCCAGGCTAGAAAGCAGGAGATCATGAGTTCTAATCCTGCCTTAGGCATGAAAGCCAGCTGGGTGACTTTGGGCCAGTCACTTTCTCTCAGCCCAACTCACCTGACAGGTTTGTTGTTATGGAGAAAATAGGAGGAAGGAGTATTAGGTATGTTCGCTGCCTTGAGTTATTTATAAAAATAATAAAGATGGTATAATTTTTTTTTTTAAACTGATTGAGCCATTAGGTGAAGAACGCCTCAGTTTCCCTCAGTTCAGAACAAGAAAGAGGACCAGAATTCTCAGCCCACAGAGGAATTTGGGGGATTATAATGCTGACAGATCTGGACAATACCAGAGTGACAAAGGCAAGCCTAGAGCTTCATCAACCTTGGAACCTTGGACCTTGGAGTTTGGCCAAACAAGAGCATTAAGATTGCTGGGTGGACCTCCAAATATGGCGGCAGAGTATCTCTTGAGACAAGGGACTGGAATGCATCACCTCAGCTTGCTTGTTGGAATATTTTCCCTGAATCCAGATACAAATGAAGCAGATGAGAGAGATTGGGGGGGGGGGCTGGGAAAGGAACAGAGGAGTGAGTCAGTTGTTATCTTAGAAATAACTCAGCCCACTTAGGGAGAAATTTCCCAGTTAGGGAAAAGGCAATTCAAAATATTCAAAGAGACTCTGCCTTAATTGATTCACTATTAAGTGATGGTGGGAAATTCCTCTTATGGTTTCCAAGATTCTGTACTTAACCCAGATGAGCATTAAAGATTCCTTACTGAAATTGGTGTAGTTCTTGCTTGCTTGATCTTGCCCAGTTCAGTGGGCATGGCAACATGCAAGGAAGAAAAGTGCTAGCTTTGGCCATCCCCTGCTTTGCTGATTTTCTAGCCACGGCATGGTCATTAGAAAGGAACGCATTCAGAAGAGGGCATGTTTGGAGCCTACCACAACAGCCTTTCTTGCAGGAACCCTTCAAAATCCTCTCCCTCCGCAATTGAAGCAACCCAGAACAAGCCTTCATGAACAAGATGGAAGGAACTAAACATGGCCCAATGGAAGGGCAGATGGGCCCAGCTGAACACAGACTGCAGTTGAGCTGATTGCAGGAGCAAAAGGGGAGGGTGCATGGATTGTGTGTTACAGAAGGAGGCAAAGTTAAATGGGAAAGAGTGACAGCTGTTGTGGGTGGAAGGGAGGCTGAAAACAAACCGTAGGAGGAAAAATGGAGACAAATCCTGAATCTCATCCAACTTGTTTTACTCTGTGTTTCTAGGTACAAAGTCTGCATGCCTTAGGGATGACTGTTCCCAAAGTCCAGCGTCATCCCTGATGTTTCTCCCATGAGGCTGAGACGTATGTCCATAATGCACATCCCCAGCCTACACCGTGATCAATCCTCCAGACTGTCTGTTCGGAGTTCATGGCAACAGCAATGGGCGTTGGACAGGCATCATGACAGTAAGGATCTGGAAGAGGGAAGAGAAAGGGGAGGGTGATCTGGGGGTTTAAGCGCTTCCTGTTGCTGCATCTGATTAGACAGGCAAGTTATCAAGGGCCCAGGGAACCTGATAGGACCCAGCCCTGCAAGGACCAAACAAGCAGCCGATCCACAGCTGGCACTTGCATTACTGCAGACCAGGAATGGGAAATCTTTGGTGGCTGGGAACACACTCCTTTTTTGGGGGGGGGAGGAAGAATTGAGAGCCATACAGTGTGGGGTGAGGATGCATTCTATCCATTCTGTAAAGCCTGTTTTATGGCTTACACGGCTTCATGTCTTCCCACTTCACAATGACGAGAAGGGATTCTAAGGGCCACCAAAAGGTGTTTCAGGGCTGCAGGCAGCTTTGGGACTTCAAGTTACCCTCTCCTGCAAAGGTCAGACCACAGAATTTGGAATGCCTGGCTGCACTCTTTCCTGGTTAGAACCAGGGGAACTTCATCTTCTGAGGATACAGAAGAATCTGAGAAGGCTTCAGAAATCAATGAAGGCCCAGCATTGCAGGCAGGGAGGTGCAAGCATGGGACCAGAGACTCCAAATCATCTCCTAAAACAGAGAATGACAGCATTGCTGGGCAGAGGTGAAAAAGTGGACACCTGAAAGGAAAAGCTCCTTTGGAGTGAAGGTCTACTAAGGGGTTATTTCTGAGTAAACCTGCATACTTGAGGAGATACAGAAAAACTGATGGAGGATTTTAGCTTCCAAGATGAAGTTTGCCAACTGGAAGTAACCCAGCCCTGGAAACAATGTTGGATAAATGTATTGGACTCAGACTATTTTCTTGTGCTCTTTGGCAACTGGAACTTTTGCTAACTTCGCTGATTCTGCAAATTTTAGTCTAAACCTCTGATTCCTAATGGTTTCATAAACAGGGTTGTCCGCGGTGGTGACGTTAACAAGTCAAGATGGTGGTTGCAGCTGTCTGATGGAAACCCTGCCCCTTTTACGTGCATTGTGGTATTTGATGCGTAAAAATGGGGTGGGGCCTCAATTGCAGAGTTGCAGCTGCCATTCTGATTCCCCCTCACCCCTGGCAGATGCTTGATTAAAAGAAAGATATTGGCTTTATATTCTCTACCTACTGATTCTTCATCAGAGACAGGAGAGCTTGCAAGAAAGCTTGTGGTGTTGCAGTTAAAGCAATCAGACTGAGAAATTAAAGGTTTCAGAATCAAACTTGCCCCCATAATTTACATGCAGCAGCCCTCAGCTACGGAAGAGGTGGGCAACTTTTCAGTCTCACAGACTACCTCTGGTGCTAGATTGGGGTCAAATCAATGCTATAGATCAGGATCTTGGGGTGGGGAAGGGTCCTCTGAGCACTTTTTCTCTAAATCTCTCCTCTGCTGATAATGGTGGCTTGTTCATTCCTGTTCATCTACAGGCTGATCAGCTGAATAGTGGGGAAAAATGGGTGTTGCTCCTGCAAGGTAGCCCCATGAAGGGCAGAGAAGGGGAGAAATGGCAACATGCATGTGATGTCATTATGCAAATGCTACAGACGTCCAACACAAATATCTAATTCATGGCATCATCATGCACGCATTGTCATTTTGGCACTATGGTGGTTTGTTATGGATGCCACTCAGCTCCTGGCAGATCAGCTGGCCACAAACAACCCCGGCAGCAATTACAGATCCAGGTGATTCAATGAAGGGCAAAAGATTGTGTGCTAAGAAGACTGAAAGGATTTCTGAGGATAAATCTATATCAGAGGAAGTTTGCATGCACGCTCACCCATGATAGCTTAGACATGATTTTCTTAATTAGCGTAAGCAGAGATTGAACCATAAATGAATGACACAGATTGGATTCAGACATTAGGCAAACACGTGGCTGGCTAAGTTGTGGTTCAGTGTGTCACACAAATAGAACCACTAAGTTGGAACATTAGCTAGGTTATCAGAAAGTAAGTTCTAACATAGACAGGTTTACTCAACTTGATCGTCTAGGGCAATGTTTCTCACACTTGGCAACTTGAAGATGTGTGGACTTCAACTCCGAGAATTCTCCAGCCAGTAGGATGACTGGGGAATTCTGGGAGTTGAAGTCCACACATCTTCAAGTTGCCATGGTTGAGAAACACCGATGTAGGCAACTTTGTGCCTATTTTATACAGATCCCTCTATTAGCGCTTCCTTTTTCAGAGCTTCTTGAAGGTTGTCTCTCCTTTTTTCATCTCAGTGGGAACAAAAAAGAAAAAACCTCCACTTTGGCCTAATTTTTTAAAGTGCTCTCATGCACTTGGATTTACTTCATCGCTGCATGACCAGCACCCTAGCACTTGAAATGGAAGAGACTGGGATTGAGGCTGAGAAACCTCCCAAAACTAGGCCCCCCTTTCAGTGTGACCAATTTACTATCTATTTCAGAGGAGACTGGGTTACTATGCAACTTTGAGATAGGAGGGGAAATTTAGGAAGAAAAGTTGAACAGATCCAAACTCTTCGGGACTGAAAATCTGGGGGTGGGGAGGTGCTGGTCTGAGAGCAAGGGATGAAGTTCTCCAAGTCTTAATTCCTCTTAATTCCTCACCTTTGTTTCTTTGTGGAACTGAGCCCGGCTTTCCTCAGGGACAATGCTGTAGGGTATGAAAATGTCCAAATGATAGAGTTCAGGATGTCCCCGTAACACAATATGGTCCTCTCCTAGGTCCAGCTCAAGATGTCTCACTGAGATCTGCAGTAGTGGCAGAAGGGAGGGGGAGAGAAAAACACATACAAAAATGCAACCAGTCCCAGCACCTGGGCTGGAGTTGGAACAGATCGGTGTTCCCCGTAAACCACACGCTACGGAGTTACCATTTCAGGGAGGCAGATTTTCGCCACTAGATGATCTGGGTGACTGGTAGATGGCTCCGCAACTATGGTGAATTCAGGAGCTGTAGCGGAGCTGAGAAATGAGCAAAACGGACTTCAGTTAGACCAGGAGAGCTGTGCCAAATGCAGATCAAAGACAACCGGCTAGTACAGAATTCTGATGGCATTTTGTGGGGCAAAACTGGGTGGAAAATAAGGGGAGATGGGACAGATTAGATGGTAGACAGCATGTCTGCCCTCCACACCACAACATTTTACTGCCAGTCCCCTCATTTTGTACTAAGTGCAGTTTGGGGAAAAAGAAAATCCATACACACTACAATCCACCAGTCCAGCCTGATCCCATCCTATTTTAGGTCATATATACCCATCCCATCTTTCAAAACCATAAGCTTCCCAATGATCTTTCTCAAGTACCCTGACCCTTATTCCCAACATGTATTCTTCTCACAACTCCAGTATACTTCTGCAAAACATGCGGCATTCTGATTTTCCCTTTCGTTTGGCTACAGAAAGGTACACCATGTCAGATAAAATCCAGTTGGCTTAAAAAAAGATGGAGAGAGAGAGAAAGGACTGCGCATGAAGTACCTTGACTAACTCAAACTCTCAGTTATTGTATCTGAGGATCCTGTCATCCTCTGATAAGGTTTAGGGTGGATTAGGGTTTCGACCGACTAGGCATGTATTGCTACAAAAAGGCTAATAAACAAAATCTCAGAGTCTCCTTCTGACACTTTCTTCTCCTTTTGCCAAACCATTCTGGGCCCAGAATTCCCACCTAGCAGCTTTCTTAAATGGCAAGCTCATTCTGGTAATTTCTTCATAGTTCCTAACGTATCCTTTTGGACACATTAGGCCAGTGTTGTCCAAACTTGGCCACTTTAAGATGAGTGGACTTCAACTCCCAGAATTCCCCAGCCAGCCAGCAGA